CACACACACACACACACACACCCTACCTCTCTCTCTTAAGCCAGTACACACACACACACACGCACGCACACACACACACACACACACACACACACCCTACCTCTCTCTCTCCCTCTCCCCATCCCCGTGCCCAAGTTGTAAAGTTCATTTTGGACCCATTGCCACAAAGAGATGTACTAGACTATCATTTTTAAGCCAGTGCACACACAAACACACACACCTCTCTCTCTCTCTCTCTCTCTCTCTCTCTCTCTCTCTCTTTCTCTCTCTTTCTCTCTCCCCATCCCCGTGCCCAAGTTGTAAAGTTCGTTTTGGACCCATTGCAACAAGGTGACGTACTAGACTATAATTTTTAAGCCAGTACTGTGATGTGTGGCTGTACTGTCCCATGGCCCATAGCCTGGAGTATGTGCAGATGCTGGGTAGGTACGTCTGGGTGCTCTGGCCTTACCTGCAGCACTAGGGAAGAAGATCACTGGGTTTCTAAATATGAAAGCTAATTATTTCACAGTGTTGTTCATGGCAAGATAATTATTCTTGACTTGGCATTCTGATATCTGATAGCTACAGTTTTATTTATTAATTTAAATGAAATTTGTATTTTGAAATAAGTTTGGGATGAAGAGAAATTCAGGCGCTGTACACGGTTACTGCTGCTTGAGAAAGCAGGTGTTTGAATTGTGTCCGGCAAGCAGGATTGCGGAATAAGCCAGTGGGGAGCAGGACCAGAGACAGCACAGAGGCTGATGAGGTGGCAGTGGAGATGCCCGTACTCGGCCCCGGCCCCTCGGTGGAGCACAGCTTGTGAGGGTTTCTGGTTCCGTTTCTGGTTCTGATTGGAGGCTTGGATCATCTGGTGGGTGAAGGCCCCTCTCATGTAGATCAGGGCTAGTTGTTTACTGCTCTGAAACTGCAAACAACACTTCATTTCACTTTCTGAGCACAGAGGAAGGACGTCGATTGAGGAAAGTTGTCTGAGTCCTTAATCCCTTATTCCTTCTTTTAAAGAAATACATTTCTGATTTTGTAACAAATGAAAATGTCAGGTCATTATAATTCCATTTTCAATTATGGTATTCTAGAACTGTTTTAGGTCACTTAGAGACAAACTGCAGTATGTCAACTTCTTTTTAAGTATCTGAAAATTATACATATAGGGGTTGGGAAGGTGGCTCAGTGGTAGAGCGCTTGCCTTGCATGCATGAGGCCCTGTGTTTGATTCCTCAGCACCACGTAAGCAAAAAGAAAAAAGCCGGAAGTGGGGCTGAGGCTCAAGTGGTAGAGCGCTAGCCTTGAGCTGAAGAGCTGAGGGACAGCGCCCAGGCCCAGAGTTCAGGCCCCACGACCGGACCCCCAAAAAAAAAATTATACATATAATTTGTAACTGTACTAACTTTAAACTGCCCTTTCTAAAACAATCCCCTCACTTACTGGAGTCCTCTTTACAAGACCCTGAGAGCTGTTTAGGAAGTGAAAGCCCGTAGGGAGCCAGCGTGGCATGTGAGGTGAGCACTGAGGGCCGTACCATTAGTAGCCTAGAGAAGGAAGCAGTGAGCTTCCCGGCCATAGCCCTGGACACCAGGCCCCACCTGTAGCCTGAGTGCCCTGGGAGGACCGGGGAGCTGCGCCCCACGGTGCCGCTCACCACGCACGCTGGGGACGCGGCGTTTAAGGTGAGAAAACAGCTATCTAGCCAAGATTCTGCAAGTCTTCTAGAAGCATTCTGCCCCTGAGTTTATGACTAGGTACTTAGAAAACTGACTTTAAAAGTGAATGCTGCTCTGTCTAGGAGTGCATGCAAAAGTGGCATCTATAGCAGGGTACACTCAGTGACAACTAGAAAGTGCTGGGCATCCCTCCAGGAGTCGACAGTGCTTTCTGTTTTTCTTGCAGGGGCCTGAAAGGTGTCCCCAGTCATGGTCTTTGTACAGGTGAAGAAACAGAGTTGAGTGCAGCTCTTTGAACTCACAATAGCGAGATAGAATTTAAATAGATTGAATTTACAATGTCCTTGAAATGGTTTGGATTACCGAAACTCAGGATAAAATATGAGTGTATAGATGGCGGTGAAACTTGAAGCAAAGATGAGCTCACCTGCTCACCTCGGAAAGGAAGGCTCTGCACTGACAGACAAGTCATATTCCTGGCAAGTGACAGATCCAGCCTCAGGACACCACGGAAGGAGGTTTGGATCTTGCTAGGCTGTGGTAACTTACACAGTCCCTGGTTCCCTGTGGGAGCTTTTTTTTTTTTTTTGATCATGGGGCCTGGGCGTTGTCCCTGAGCTCTTCAGTTTGAGGCAAGGGCTCTACCACATGAGCCACAGCTCCACTTCCAATTTTGTGTGTGGTTTATTGGAGATAAGAGTCTCATAGACTTCCCTGCCTCGGCTGGCTTTGGACCATGATCCTCACATGGTGCTCAGCCTCCTGAGTAGCTAGGAATTATAGGCGTGAGCCACTGGCGCCCAGCTTCTGTGGGTAGGTCACATAGGCACCTTGAGTGATGTTCTTTTACCTGATGACAGGTATTGTATATTATTATATCATGTTGTAACTAATGACCTGGAATGAAGTATCTTTTAAAAACCTTTTTTCCCTGAAAATGCTTATTGTCGTAAAATGTTATTAACTTAAAAATTATTCTAAAGAAGTAAGAATGGCAAATAAACACATGAGGAAATGCTCAACATCCCTGGCCATAAAGGAAATACAAATCAAAACAACTTTGAGCCAGGCACTGGTGGCCCACACCTGTAATCCTAGCTACTCAGGAGGCTGAGATCTGAAGATCTCAGTTGCACACCAGCCTAGACAAAAAAGTCCATGAGACTCTTGTCACCAATAAACTACTCAGAAAGAGCTGGAAGTGGGGCTGTGGCTCAAGTGTTAGAGTACTAGCCTTGAGCACAAAGAAGCTCAGGGACAGTGCCGTGGCCCTGAGTTTAAGCCCCAGGATCAAAAGAGAAAAAAAAAGAAGGAGGGAGGAAGGACGGAAGGAAGGAGGGAGGGGGGGAGGGAGGGAAGGAAGGGGAGGGGGAGGGGGGAGGGAGAAAATTGAGATTCCATCTCACCACAGTTAGATTGGCCAACATCAATAATTCAAACAACAGCAAATGCTGGGGTGATGTGGGGAGGGAAAAAACAAACAAACTTTTGAACTGCTGGTGGAAATGTAAACAAGAACAACCATACAGTTTGGAAGTTTCTGAAGAAACTAAACATACAGCTACCCCCAGTGACTCAGCCATACCACTCTTGGTCATCTACCCAGAACATCACTAGTCAGGATACAATAAAGACATACCTCCATATTGCACTTTTCACAATAGTCAAGTTATGGAAACAGTCTAGATGCCCTACAGTAGATGAGTGGATCCAAAAAATGTAGTACCTATACACAATGAACTTTTATATAGTCATTAGCATAGTATTTCCAGGGAAATGGATGGACCTAGAACAAACCAGGTTAAGTGAGGTAAACCAAGCTCAGAGAGACAAATGGCACATTTTCTCTCATGTGGAAGCTAAATAGAAAGTAGAACTGGATGTGATAACCTGTTTAGGTATGATAATGGATATGATAACCTGTACAGAACTGTAGGCATTCACACACAGACCATACTCTTATGGGGAGAATCCAAAGGTGTATCTCCTCTGAACATTTAAAATACTGTTTATCAAAATGAATTCCTAGAAATGGAAACTTTTTTTTTTATTAGTGGTGGTCATGAAGGTGTTTTTGATTTGGCTTCTTTGGAGGGAGGAAGTGGGGCCGTGATGGTGGGTGGGTGACTGAGTGCAGTCATGGTAGTCAGTAGACACTGTGGAACGTGAGTGATGTAACTTGTGGGCAGGGAGATGGAAACAGGGAAGGCAAAGAAAAGGGTGGTATTGTCCAAAATGACTTGAATCACTAGCTGAGTCATGAAATGGTAACCCTCTGCACAACACCTTAATAATAACAATGCAGCTACATTTTAAAATAAAAGTAAGTTATTCCTTCACTAATGATTAAGTTTCAATAACAAATGTAAATAAGAGTAGTTCCTGTTTCTTTGAGTATCTGTATTGCCAGGGAATTGGCTTACATCATCTCAGCTTTTAAGTGTGTTTTCCATTTCACAGAAGAGGAAAAGCAAATCTTGGCCAAGTCAATAGCTAGACACCAAGTTGCTGTTGTCAGACTCACAGCTCAGTGCTCAGAGCACAGCTGGATGTCTCTTTTGCTATATTGTCTCCTTTATATTTGCAGCTATTTTGTGTAGGTACATTAATGTAATGTCGATTAGTCAAACACTAATTTATCTCTTAGGAAAAATGTCAGGATAACAGATTCAAACTGTTGGCCTTTGACAGAACCTGTAGAATCCTGGAGTATCAACTGACGAGTGTAGGCTTCTGTGTGGATAGTGTGTGCTCCCTTCCTGGGATTAGCCTTCTGGTTCTGGGGAAATAGGCAACAGAAGGTCTGAGGCTCTATGCTTCTGTGTCCACCACACCTTGACGAGTTCTCTGTGTACTGGTGCGCTGTGTCACTGGATCCCCCCCACACACACACGTCCTAGGACATCAGGCCTCATGCACTGTGGTCTCCTCAGGTCGCGCTGGTACGCTGGACAGAGAGTGTCGGGCTCACTCTCATCAGCAGGGACCTCACATCTGTGCAGCTGAAGACACCTGGTGGCCAAGTCCTGACCTACTGCATCCTTCAGGTGTTCCCCTTCACCTCTGAGAGCAAGCGGATGGGCATCATTGTCAGGGTAGGCCTCCCGGACCATGTCAGTCAGGTCCTGCTCAGCCTTTTCACGTAGGAAAAAAAAAAAGGTGCTCAATTGGAGATAAGAGTCTCACAGACTTTCACAGGCATGTGAAAGGAAAGGAAAAGCTAGCTCTTGCTGCATGATGAATTTGCACATGAAGCATTTCACTGGGACTTAGATTTGAATGAAATGATAAGAATTCTTGAGGGAAAGTGAAATTATATGAAACCCTAAAAGAAAAGGGTTTCGAGCCTGGTGCTGGTGGTTCACACCTATAATCCTAGCTACTTAGGAAGCTGAGATCTGAGGATCACGGTTCAAAGCCGGCCCAGGCAGGAAAGTCTATGAGATTTTTATCTCCAGTTAAGCACCAGAAAACTGGAAGTGGGGTATGGCTCAACTGGTAGAGCACTCACCTTGAGCTGAAGAGCTCAGGGACAGCACCCAGGCCCAGAGTTCAAGCTCCATGAACAGCAAAAAAAAAAAAAAAATCTTAAGGAAAGCACTCCAGGAGCAGCACACACACACATGCACACGCACATACACATATACACACACACAAAGCATAGGAGTACACTGATCTTTATTATTATTATGCCATTCATACAGAAAAATATTCAAGTTACAGCAGAATCTACTCCCCAGGAATCCCTTTTTCCAGTTCCTTTTCTATTAGGCCAGCAGTTGCTTGTACAGAATGATGCATCCCAGCTGGTCCTGTGTTTATTTTCCCTCCACCACAGGACGAGTCCTCAGCAGAAATCACTTTTTATATGAAAGGTGCTGATGTTGCCATGTCCACCATCGTCCAGTACAATGATTGGCTAGAGGAGGAGGTAAGTGAGTTCTCAGCATTGTGCCAAATGTTTCACTGAAGTGTACTGAAGAGTGACAAAGTAGCATTTTTCCCCCATTTGTATATACTAGTATCTCTGGAGTAAGTTAAGACATTGAAATTTAATATCAGAAACTGATAGGCTATCCAGGTGCATTATTTTCCACTAAATTATGTTAAGTACTTAATAGTTCTTTTCATAAAGTAGGAAGTTTTAGTTAATTATAAACAGTTTGCTTCCTACAGAAATAACTGCCACTTTTCATGGCTGAATGTGTATGTCTGTATTTTATTAATACTGAAATAGCATTATCCATCATTTACTAGAGAATTCTACAATAAAACTATATGCATAAATAACCGAAGTTATACTTTACTTTCATATTGGCTTTGTAAACCCAATTAAAAACATTTTTAAGGTTTTAATTCAGGGCTAGGAAGGTGGCTCAGTGGTAGAGTGCTTGTCTTGCATGCATGAGGCCCTGAGTTCGATTCCTCACCACCACATAAACAGAAAAATTCAGAAGTGGCGCTGTGGCTCAAGTGGTCGAGCACTAGCCATGAGCTGAAGAGCTCAGAGATAACACCCAGGCCAAGAGTTCAAGACCCACAACTGACCAAAAAAAAAAAAAAAAGATTTTAATTCAAATATTAACTTAATAGTAATTTTTTTCTTTTTAGATCTAGAAATGTGGTACAAATACAAGCAATTCCTATATTAAGTACTCCCTAAATGAATGTGATTTCTGTTCAGCCTCGGGAGAGTCTATTTATTGTTGAGTTTTTGTGTCAATAGTTAGACTTAAGAATAAAACTAAGCTCAGTTGTAATTGTAAACATGTGCCCGAGTTACTACTGTGCTCTGAGCTCTGTCTCCACCTTAGACCTCAGTGATAACCTGTCAGCACGGTGGCCACGCTTGTTCAGGATGATGTCGGCATTAGAATCAATACCGCCCTCAAGGCATTTTGAATTCATCAGAGACAGGAATAAATTAAACTCCCTGCAGACCTAGTAAAATGCCATAAAATTACTTTTGGTCATAATGACATGGAATTAATTATAAAATACTTGTTTAATTTATTTATCTTTATGAGGTCAAATCAATAAATGTCTTGCAACAGACAGATAATGTCAGATTGTTTTCACAAAGATAGCTTCATTAAAAATCCTATGTATACGTATTTTCTCAGCTTTCTATTATTTTCCTTTCATAGATAATCCTTCTGACCCTTCACCAGTGTCTTTGTTATGATGCTGTCATAGTCTTTATTAAAAAACGTTGTAAAGCAGGTATAGGAGAACCACTTAAGTGGTTGTTCACGTGTGTCCCTTCAGGTTTCCTAAAACCTGGCCCATGTCTGTGAAGAGGCAGGGGTCAGCCCTGTAGGGATGTGTGGAAACATTTGCAAATGAAGGTCATGTGTTCAGCAGTGGAATGGGTCTCACTGGACAGTGCAAGTTAGATCTTGTAACAGGTTTCCAACTGCCCCAAGCAGGTTTACCCCAGTCTACAACCAGCCCTGTACCAGAGATAGCCCCTGCCTTCACACCATCACTCTCCTAAACTGTTGAGTTTTGCTTCTCTGGGGGGAGAATGTTATTACTGTCATCACTACAATGCATTCCCTTACGATGAATGTGATTAGCATTTTTCTTTCACACACCTACCAAATTCACTTCTGTTTTCTTACCACATGAATCAAGGCTCATCAGACTTGATTCTTCCTTCCCTGCCTAGTTAGTCCTGAACCACATAGCCAGATGCATGGGGCTCAGGGTCTGGCTGGGTCCCCCATGCCTCACCCCCAGTCTCACCTCTGCCCATACAAGGGTAGTGATGATCCCATATCGCATGAGCAGCCTGATTCCACAGACAGCAGAATACAGCAACAAGAGCAAAGTTGTGTGGCTCTTACTTTCTGCCAGACTCTGGTATTAGACAGCACACAAACCTGGTCCCTAAACAGCCCTGTTGGGGCAGTTTCTTGGTAAGTCTGGGGCAACAAGTTAAGTGTTTTACTCTGTAGGGGAATATAACTACATGCCAGCATGGTTCTCACATCCTCCATATTAGCTCACTGATCTACAGCCTGTGCCACCCCTTCTACTTCCTGATCTGTATATCCACAGACTTTCCGCCCTCTCCTGTGCCCACCTACCCATCCTCACCCACGCGGCTTCCAGGAGGCTTCCACATGCCACCTTCCTCCTGTCTCCTCACAGCTGCATCCCCCGGAAGGCATTTGCCAGCCCCGCCAGGCCTCTCTCCTACCCAGCTACTTTCAGTTTCCTTATTTTATCCAAATTCACAACTTCTTGTCACTCTCTGAAGCCCTTGGACTTCGTAAGCTTGTTGTGTGCTAGGCAGGTACTTGATCAAGTGTCCCAGCTCCAGAGAGTCTCCTTCCACTCAGCCCTACTGGGGCTGCGTGGTTGGCAAGATGGTCATGTTTCTGGAATAGCACTCTGCTAAAGGTGTATCTAACCGCTGTGTGCTCTGTGCTTTGCCTATGAATCCTTTTTTTCATGTATTTCATTTGTTATTGTTATAAAGTTGATATACAGTTACATAAGCCAGGTAAAGATTCTTTTTGGACAGTGTCACCCATTCCATCACTCTCTGTTTTTCCCTCTTCTCCTCCCCCACAAGTTGTATAGTTCATTTTCCACATAGTGTCCCGTGACTGTGCTTGCTCACCCTTTGTCCCTCCATCTCTGTGCTGGGTCTTCTCTCGAGGAGAGGTGACATGCAGCTGTGTTGTGCAGTCTGTTGTCTCATGGAGCCCAAGGGCCTCCAGGGAGATGAGGACAGGACAGCAGTGCTTGATAGGACTTGAAACTCCACCAGCATCTCCTGGATGATTGGTCCCTCCTCTTTCAGTGTGGGAACATGGCACGGGAGGGGCTTCGGACCCTTGTGGTGGCAAAAAGGACACTAACAGAAGAGCAGTATCAGGACTTTGAGGTAAGCAGCTTCCGCCAGCCATTCTCAGACTCACTTTCCCCACACAGAAGTGTGTCCTTCTCGTCCACCCTGCGGTTGTGGGGCTGCTGCCGCTGCTGCCACATGTAACTCTGTGGCCCCGCCCACTCCAGTTCCAGGGAAGGGAGTGTGTGTGTGTAGAAACCACCAGTTTTCATGCCCTTCGTGTGGGCCAAGCATCCTTCCTTCTCTCCTCAACATGCTTAGAGCAGAAATGGTTCACACTTGTCTGGTACATAGCTTGGGGGATATTTTCATAGACTAGTTTAGCACCCCTAGCCTCAAAATCTAAAATGCCCCAAATTATGAGACTTTTAGAGTTTCACGCCAGTGTGCCTGACATTGGAGCATTACAGATTTTCAGATGTAGTGATATTCAACCTGCATTGTGAATTGTCACCCAGGAAATGATTGTGCGCGCCCAGCAGAGTACATGCACAGTACATCCCTCTGTCCTAGAGCTGACACCATCCTCACGGTGTCTCCCTTCCCCCTAGAGCCGATACAGTCAAGCCAAACTGAGCATCCACGATCGGGCGCTGAAGGTGGCTGCAGTGGTGGAAAGCCTGGAGAGGGAGATGGAGCTGCTCTGCCTCACTGGGGTGGAGGACCAGCTGCAGGCCGATGTAAGACCCACGTTGGAGATGCTGCGGAACGCTGGAATCAAGGTAGTGCCTGGTGCTCCACCCTCAAAGCTGCAACCACTTGTTCTCATGACACTCCCGTAAGAAGTAAAGCTGAACAGAGCTTCGTAAGTGAAGCTGCATCCTACTCCCCACCTTCCCACCCTCTTTCCTAGTGCACCTCCAAGGGTGTCCCGTGGCCCTCCTTCAGACTTCCTTCTGCCTTCCTCTCCCACCCCCTGGGCCCTGTCCGCTCAGGGCAGCATTGTCTTTCTGAAGCAGGGCTCTGCTCCAGCCCTCCCAGGACACCTGCATCCCTGAGGCCTAGAGGCCCCTGGCTGGTGTGCCCAGGTTGTGGTTCAGCCACATGTTCTTTATTTTCTCCCAATCTCCATCAAGGTGGAGTATGAACGTTTTCCTATAGCAGTCCAGGCTGACCTGTGAGCTCTTTATCCTGTGTAGAGTAGGAGGACTCAGCCTCATGTGGGTGTTGAGCTTCGTTCACTGCTGGATCCTGCGTGTGCAGATTCACCTTGTACCCTGTGCTCCTGCTCATGGACAAAGGCAAATGTTAGGTCTTAAGGAAGTCAGGGTCCTGGTATGAAGCTGTAGGTATTTATAGTGATTGAGTATTAAATGGTGTCAGACTTCCATCTAAAGGACTAGACCTCATCTCTGCACCTCACAGAACTGACTGTAGATGCTGCTCTCAAGTAGAAGGTGAGCCAGATTTAATGTGCCTTAGTTTGCTCAGCAGTGACAGTGCTGTCTGGCTTTGCCATAGTGATGTCTGATTGTTTGGGGTGTGGTAATGCTGATTGGAATATGCTAATGACAACACAGAGTGGGAGTACTCAGATACGGAGCCCAGCCCAGCACGGCTGACTGTACCTGAGGGAATGATGAGTGTGACTGGGCTCTTCTGTCTCATGTCCCCAAAAGTGCATCCTTCCGTACAGTAGGTAAGGAGTCTGAGTCAAGTGATAATGAGAGTATTACTGGAAAAGTTTTGCTACTATATAACATAAATATTTTACTCTGTATTAAATGCTGTTTTATTCTTTTATGATGTAGGTATGTAAATGTGTGTATGTTCACATCTATTCAGGTTTTTTAATTTAATTTGGGTGATATACAGAGAAGTTATAGTTGCATACATAAAGTAGTGAGTACATTTCTTGTCGAGCTTGTTACCCCCCACCTCATTTTTCTCCCAGTTTCCCTCTCCCCGTCCCCCCTCAAGTTGTACAGTTCCATTCCAACATACTGTCTTGTGGGTATCACTGTTGCATTGGTTCCCCCTTTGTCCTTTGTCTCGCCATTTTGTTGTTCCCTTTCCCTTCCTTAATTCAAATACATGTATATACAACCCAGGGCACCAAAATCAAATACAGTGACAACAGGGGCTAAACTACAGGGGAAAAAACACAAAAGAAAAAAGAAATCACATAGTATATTAAAAACAACAGCTAAGAATAGCTGGGCACTGATGGCTCACACCTGTAATCCTATCTACTCAGGAGACTGAGATCTGAGGATCATGGTTCAAAGCCAGCCAGGGCAGGAACATCCTTGAGACT